CTTTTACCAGTTTTTCTACCAAAAGCTTAACTTATAATATGAATTTGCTTTGGCCTCCAAACAGCCATTTGGCCCCAGTTCCGATCTCCAGGGGACATCACTGGCATGCAACTTCATATATCCTAAAATAAATACATCATCTTTTCTTTCAAAGCCATTTCCACAGTTGGGAATTTGTTCCTCTGTGATCTGGTGAAAAGACAGTATTGGTTGATTTTAGACGTGGAGAATGGAGAAGGGACAGATGCTTTCGGCTCTAAGAAAAATAATATTTGACTCACAGTGGCTTAAATAAACAAGGACTGCTTTTTTTTTTTTCACACAAAAAGGAGTGAAGGTGGTTGCTGACCCTGGTTCACTGGAGGTCGGGTTTTCTGGACCACACAGCTCCAGGCAGGGTGTCTGCATCTAAACGAGGAGAGTGGAGGGGAAGAAGTGACATTTGTATCAGGAAAATAAAAGCTTTCTCAGAACACCCTAGCTGACTTCTGCTTACCTCTCATTAGCCAAGCCTGTGTCACCGAGCTACTCCTGAGAATGACAAAGAAAAAATCTCTCTCTGGCAGCTAAGCTGTAAGAGTGAACTCAGGATTGATGAAGAAGTTGCAGCTAGCAAAATGGACTTCACTGTTACTCCCCAAACTGATAAATTTTGCCAAACCAGTCATGAACACCACCTGCTTCAGCTCAGAATACTTTAACACCAGCGTCTTCAGTCTGTATGTCCTGGGTGAGAATCACAGACAAACAACTCAAACAATAGCTCCACCTGGATTCGCAAGTTCCGCTGACTGTGGCAGCAACTCTCCTAGTTTGCAAATTCTGACTAGTACCTGCCAGGACCCTCCCAGGACTCACTCAGACCCTCCAGTACCCTTTCCTCACTCTCCCCTCTCCCCCACCTCCCTCTGAGATGCCCCACGGTTCTGTTTCGGCTCTCCTTTGCAGGAGGAAGTGAATAAACCTAACTTTAGCTACAGGAGTGTTTTTGAAGGCTTTTTGCCTGTCAGATTTTCACACCTAGAAAGAGGACAGAGAGAAGTTGGTTGAGAAGAGGAGTTAAGTCTGGCACCTAGGGACGTTTGCCATGAGGAACCAACAATGTGAGGGCCCTAGGAGCAGGCAAAAGACGGTGCTCACGCAAGGAGAAGCAGAGACTATCTGCTAGATAGCGTACTGTTTTCAGAGAACAGTCCAGCAGCTGAGGGTTTGGTGGAAGTCCTTCTCCCTACGAGCAGGGTCTCACTCAAGGGTAAAGCGACAGGCTTATGACGCTGGAAGAAGCTTCCTGCCCACGGCCCACCCTCTCCCCTTCCAGCTCTATGGCTGCTCATGAAATACAGCTGAAGAAACCAGAGGCCTTCAGTAGACAGACAGGATGCGCTGGTCAGACACAGCATCTCACTGTGCGATCTGCAGGTGTGTGCTTCTCAGACACGTACGTCCCGCTGCCTTCTTGACACTTCCGCTTACACGTCCAATAGACCTTTCAACTCATGCCCAACATCGGGTTCCTGATTTTCCCCTCTACCCATGACTGATTTCCTCTACCACCAGGCTTTCCATCTGAGATGATAACTCCTTCCTTCCAGACGCTGTTACCAGATCATTTGGGTTTATCCTTATTTGCTCTCTTCCTCTCATACCTTGAATCTACTCCGTTAAGAAACTCTACTGACGCTACCTTCTCAGTATATTCAGAATTGACCACATCACACTACCTTTCGTCCCAGCACCCTGGTCTTAGGCCACCAGCATCTCTCACCTGGATTACTAGACTAGGCTCCCAGCTTCTACCTTTCCTCCTCCCACGGCCAGAGGTAGCCTTTAAAAGTATAAGCTAAATCATGTCACTGCTCTACTCAGAAACCTGCAATGGCTCCCTCAGAATAAAAGCCAAGTCCTTACCATCACCTACATACAGGTCCCCAGGGCCTGGCCTCCTCTCCTGCGACTCTGCTCCTTGTCCTTCTAAACGTACCTCCCTGGCCCCTTGCTGGCCCCAGATCATGCCCGGCAGCCTTGCTGCATTGACTGTTCTCTCTGCCTTAAATGCTCTTTCCCCAGATGGGTGAGTTCTATTGCCTCTTTCAGGTCTTATCTTTTTCAGTGAGGTTAACTCTGACCAACCTATTTAAACTGCAGCCCAGCACCTCAGTCTCTCGAAATGCCAGTTCTCCTTGATTTGCTCTACATTTTCTTTCTTTTTTTATTCCATAGCACTTATTCCTTCTAACTTACTATAGTATTATTTATTTATCACATCTGTCCTTCCTCCCCTTTCCCCAGAATCTGAGCTTCACAAGGGCAAGTAACTTTGTGTGTTTTGTTCCATGATTTATCCTAAGTGCCCAGAACAGTGCCTGGCACCACGGATGCACCCAGAAAATACTACCAAATGACCAACTCTACAGCTTGGCATGCTCGCTCTTTCCTTAATTCAATGCTGTGTTCAGGAAACAAATAAACAAAGTAAGGTACATGTAAGTCCACACACAAAGAAAAAGAAGTTCAAATCATAGGATATCCCAGTATGACACATGGCAAAACTCCTTTAGAATCCTCCTCCCCAAACTATTTCCCTAAGTTCCACTCATAAAATCATTGCAGCTGCTCCTGTAATCTCCAAACATTTTAAAAATAGTCATGCCTGTGATTTCTCTATTTTTTCACCCTGTGTTTCCATTTCCATAGCTCTCGTATCAATCAAACTGAAATTTGAAAGGATGAAAGTAAGAAAGTGCCAGTGTAGGCTTGCTTAGGGAGAAGTTAGGTAGTCTGAAAATGAAACGGTAGAGATCAGGCAGCTGCAAACTTTCAGTTAGTGAGGGGGAAAAAAAAACATCAAACCAGAGATGAGCCAGGGATATACTGTTAAAGAGCTATGTGATGGGCCACAGCTATGTGAGTGCAGGCTGGAGTCACTGGCACACTGCTACGCAAAAACACGGATTAGGGATGAAATCATCCATGTGCTCTTCAATGGCTGGAATATGGTGTGTGTAGACCTGCATCATGCATGCAAAAATACAGCACTTCACAGACTAAGAGTCTCAGCTGTGCACATTTTAGGTGGATAAAGGGATCTGCTATTTCACATAGTGGGAACTGAAGTGCAGAAGTCATTGCCCTGGTGATCATTGGCAATATATACACATACTGAATCACCATGTCTTACGTCTGAAACTAATATGTTAAATGCCAATTATACCTCAAAAAATGAGTCATTGACCTCAAAATATAAGACAAGCAGAAGATGGATTCCACGGATCAAGGATATTTGCGATGTGTCAGAGGTGACTACTTCCCCATATGATCCTTGAGGGTAAGAAAGGCATGTTCCTTGTTCTGTCAGCTACAGCATAGTTGGTCACACAGACGATGAGACAATGCCATTTTGGCAAAAACATGTTTTGTATCTTCATGTTCTGCCAAAAATTGAAAATTTTATTCCCTATTCTGCATTATCTCTTGTGTTCTTCTCCTCATCAGGAGTGTCACCTTCCGTTCTCTTCATTTGCCAAAATCTCGTTCATTGGAGCCATTTTAACTCCTAATCTCCCCGTGGGAGTAAAACAGTAAAATCTCAGCACCTCACCTGGACTTCTTTGGTAGCAAAAAGTTGAAATGTAATACCCAGGAAACACGCTGTTTGAAGTGAAACAGCAACACCACCAGAAAGTCTAGCCTGCTTACAAAAGCTGGGTGAACTAACTTGGGTATTATTGACAGAAATTATTGCATTATTAAAGCTACTGACATGGAAAATGGGCAAGGTACTAAAACATCTCCATACACTGTATAGCCACTACCAAGGAGGAAAATCTCCCTGTATGGAAAACCATTATTAAAATTTATGAATACACGTTTCATATCAGATATGTGATCTTAAAACAGTCATCTCTCAGTTTTTCTGATTATTGCCACTACTTGCTTTTGGCAGAAATAACAGCTATTACATTATTGATGGTTCAAAAATTAGGAGTATATTTCTGTTAAAATGTTTTGCTGTTCTATTTAGACCATGAGGATGTGTATTTGCATATATGTAATAGAAATAAGCACTATGCTAATGTCATCAAATCTTATAAAAATATTAAAGCTACACTCTACAGACATCATAAACTATAATTTACCATTCACAAAAATACTATTTTATTAAGATTATACAGGAGAAAATTTATTTTATTTTGGATAATTTTATATACTATAAAGATTCATTATATGTCTTTGAAAGACTTGTCCAAGGATCTCTTCTTAAATGAAAGATCAGTAGAGACTTAAGGTCTATACTCTATTGAGGGCAGACTGAGACAGAACTTCATCTTCCAAAATACAAAATTAATAAAATCACTTTTCAGAAGAAGAGGGCCCTCTCTCAAAAGATTTGGAAATATGTTACAAAATCACCTAAATTTAGCAGGCTAAATTCAACTCATAGTTAGATGAGGTCAACTAAGTTTTTATAAAAAGCTCCTCCCTAGATTTGCAAAAAACTAATATAGATTAAATTTTGTAATATTTCAACATGTGTAATCTGTAAGAAGACTAAAATATTCTACTTCAGTAAATCCCCATACTGACCACCAACGTTTTTTTATTGTTTCTTTTCCTTCAAGAGGGGGCATAATTCACTAAGGATGAGTCATGACCAAGACAAGGAGAAGAAGGATATTTCTGCTTGTGGGTATCCGAAGCAAAACTGAAAATACAGAGTTCCTTTTCCAGCTATTGCTTGTAAAACTACTAGCATAAAGCTCGCATTCACTGAGGGAGGTTGAATGGATTAATGTGACATCACAGACTGTTCTGCCATCTGCAGCCAAGTCTTGTTATAAACATCACCACTAACCACAAACACGCACCACGGGCAGGGCAAATGGCTCCTCCCACGTCCCCCCTTAGAGGGTTATGCGTTTGGGTGTTTCATTCATCCTACAACAAAAACATGAATTTTGAAAGTATGGACCATTTGAGGCAGGATGAAAAGAACGGTTTACCTGTCTATGATGGCGCACATATCAATGCTGACATTCGCGAAACTTCCTGGCCTCCTTTGCACCACTTCAGATAAATTCACAAGCTGATCATCCACTTGAATGAGCTGCATGCAGCCTTGGAATGAAGGCTGAAGGACAGAGTGACTTGAGTTATGCATCTGGTTCAGATAACCTGTGAGAGAGAAAAAATGGGGATGTTAAATTCTGTGCACAGCATGCTTCACTGCAGTTCCTCTGGGTGTTCTCCCTGACCACAGCCCGCATACCCAGCTGCTGTGTTTTGTGGACCCTTGCTGATGTTGTGCTCAATGTGGAAGAATGAAGTCTTTTGAGAAGATGATATTATTTCAGGGGAAGACATAAGGGTTGAACCTAGGTGAGTGTTTGTCTCTGGGGCCTCCCATCCCTCATATTTTCTCTTTTGACATCTTCTTTTTCACTCTGTCACATCTCCGTCCTGCTACTGAAGCCTCACCGCTGTACTTTTTCATCTGACCCTGTCTTCAGAGACCAGGACATGAAAGTTTAGGCCCCAACTATCCAACTGTCTTCCTTTTATACCATCAATATTTACTTCTATTATCTTCATTCTCTAGAGGCCTGTTATTCCAATGTCAAGAAGCTAAACTTACTATTATCAAATAAGGTGGATTTCTTTTATGAATTAATATTTAAATCAATTTGTATTACAAATGACTTCTTAATTTATAAAACCCAAAGAAATAGTATAAAGAGATAAATTAAGGCATAAGGATCAGCCACACTGCTCTGAATATCCGTCTCATATTAGGTACCTAAAATGGGATAGGAAGCATAAATGATAAGAAATAAAACTAGAATTTAAAAAGAAGGAAAACAAGACCAAAAAAGAAAGTAAATAGTACTGGATATATTAGGAAACAGAACATACATATGTTAAGATTGAGATCGGAATTAAGATTAATTAAGATTAAGATTTTTATTGCAAGAAAACTTTAAAATAGCACCACAAATCAATTACCATTATGCTTTTTCAATAGAAAAATATATAATTCTTATTATGAATAGAAAATGTATGGCCATACGGACTAAAATTTCTTGAACCTTTTAAATATCTCCGTAAAGTTCCCCCAAGCTTCTGTGTTTCATATTGTTCCCCACACTAAATTCACCTCCCAGAGAAAATTTAAATTGTAGCAATTTGTCTGCTTAAAAATCTCAGGTTATTCATACATTCTTTCCAGTCTAGTATTATATCTACAGCAAAAAAATATTATAAGAATAGGTTGGTACCAAGATGTCTCTTTAATTGGATAAAAGTGAATTTTCAATAAAATTTTTTCCAAAAATTTAACCATTAAGTGATTTTTTAAAATGTCCTGTTCTGTTTGACTAGCAATAGTAATAGTAGTTTAGAACAACAGAAACCTCCATTCACCCTTTACTAATGGGTTACAATATTTAAATCTAATAATTATCAATTGAATCCCCTTTAAGGATTAATCACAGAGCTGTACATAATCATTTTCCATCAACACAGTACTTTGTAAAAATAGAAATACACTTATATTAATCTTTTGACTTAAAAAATAAACATAAGGTTCTATTTCAATATCAAATGGTATGCATTTTTTTCTTTTTTTTTTTTGCATTTGCATTTGCATTGACTTAATCCCCTCAGAAAATTTCTCATCTTAGCTAAAGACTGTTACACTACATAAAGGAATCAATCTAAGAAGAAGACATAAAATTATAAACATATATGCACCCAAGATAGGAGCACCTCAATATATAAGGCAGCTGTTAACAGACATAAAAAGAGAAATCAACAATAACATATTAATAGTGGGGTGGGACCTTAACACCCTACTTACATCAACGGACAGATCATCCAGACAGAAAATCAATAAAGAAACAGAGGCCTTAAATGACACATTAGACCAGATGGACTTCATTGATATTTATAGAGCATTCCAGCTGAAAGCAGCAGAATACACATTCTTCTCAACTGCACACACACATTCTCCAGAATCGATCACATCCTGGCCCACAAAGCAAGCCTCAGTAAATTTAAGAAAACTGAAATCATATCAAGCATCTTTTCCAATCACAACACTATGAGATTAAAAATCAACTACAAGAAAAAAAACTGCAAAATCTGCAAACACATGGAGGCTAAACAACATGCTACTAAACCACCAATGGATCACTGAAGAAATCAAAAAATGCTCAGAGAAAAATGAAAACAAAAAGAATGGTCCAGAACCTCTGGGACACAGCGAAAGCAGTTCTAAGAGGGAAATTTATAGCAATGCAAGCCTCAGTACAAGCCTACCTTAAGAAACAAGAAAAATCTTAAATAAACAAATTAACCTTATACATAAATCAGCTAAAGAAAGAAGAACAAACAAAACCCAAAGTTAGGAGAAGGAAAGAAATCATTATGATCAGAGAAGAAATAAATAAAATAGAGACTTTAAAAAAACAACAACAGCAGCAAAGATCAATGAAACTAAAAGCTGATTCTTTAAAAAGATAAATAAAATTGATAAACCTTTAGCCAAACTCATCAAGAAAAAAAAGGAGAGGGCTCAAATTAATAAAATCAGGAATGAAAAGGAGAATTTACAACTGACATCACAGAAATACAAGGGATCATAAGAGGCTACCATGATCAACTGTATGCCAAATAAAAGGACAACCTACAAGAAATGGACAATTTCTTAGAAAGGTACAATTTGCCAAGATTGAACCAAGAAGAAATAGAGAATATGACTAGACCAATTACTAGTACTGAAATCAAATAATTAATTTAAGAACTCCCAACAAAGAAAAGTCCAGGACCAGACAGCTTCACAGGCAAATTCTACCAACCATTTAGAGAAAAGTTAACACCTGCCCTTCAGAAACTACTCCAAAAAATTGCAGAGGAAGGAACACTTCTAAACTCATAATATGAGGTCACTATCACCCTGATACCAAAAACCAAAGATACCACAGGAAAAGAAAATTACAGACCAATATCACTTATGAATATAGATTAAAAATTCAACAAAATATTAGCAAATTGACTACAACAATGCTAATGCATTGTTGGGTCATACATTATGATCAAGTGGGCTTTATCCCAAGACACTGCAAGGGTTTTTTATATTCATAAATCAATGTGACACACCACATCAACAAACTGATAAATAAAAACCATATGATCATCTCAATAGACGCAGGAAAACTTTTTGATAAAATTCAACATCCATTTATGATAAAACTCTCCAGAAAGTGGACATAGAGTGAACATACCTCAACATAATAAAGGCCATATATGACAAACCCTCAGCTAACATCATACTCAACAGTGAAAATCTGAAAGCATTTCTTCTAAGATCAGGAACAAGACTAGGATGCCCACTCTCACCACTTTTATTCAACATAGTTTTGGAAGTCCTGGCCACAGCAATCAGAGAAGAAAAAGAAATTAAAGGAATCCAAACTGGAAAGGAAGAAGTAAAACTGTCACCGTTTGCAGATGACATGATACTACATACAGAAATCCTAAAGACACCACCAGAGAAATACTAGAGCTCATCAATGAATTTGGTAAAGTTTCAGGATACAAAATTAATACAGAGAAACCACTTGCATTCCTATACACTAAAAAAAAAATCAGAAAAAGAAATTAAGGAAAGAATCCATTACTATTATATT